CCAGACTTCATTCAAACTTTAACTAATTTAAACAACAAGTTCTGGTTCTGGTTGATTAGAAACTAAAACTGTTTAAAGCTGTTCTAGTCATTTCTTTATACATTAGATGGCTCTATTGAGGTTGTAAAAATGACTCCGAAGAGGTCAGACAATGACTCACAGACACATGGGTCACTGAATGAATTGTTTTTTTTAAATATCTTAGTCATCTGGCGACAGGAAACATGTCAGACTTCCCAGACCAAACAAAGTTCTTCAGAAACTGCTGTAACAATGTCTGAATTCACTGATACTGTATTCACCAATCAAATCTGTCCCCAGGCACCACATTGTTGTTTTTTGAAATTTGGCATGTGTTCAATTTCTTTTACAGCTTGCAGGATAGCCTGTTGTTCACTCGACCATTAGATAAACTGTCAGCCAGACCCTAAAGTTGAGCCAAAGCTCTCTTGACGCAACAGATTGTTATTTTTTAAACATGTAATATTTCCATGTTCTTATTTCACTACGTGGTCATAAACCAAAGAGCTTGGGGACATTATATTTGCTTTATTTGTGTTTTTCACAAGTTATTAGATCTTCCAGAGTTCTGAAACAAGCTCTCAGTTGCATTTGTCAAGCTTCTTGACTGGCGCTGCTGATGGCAGTTGAAGTTTTGATGCATGAAGTTTGGCAGAATTTGTAGAAAATATCGGGAATTATGTAGAAGTTTCCCCGACTGGCAGTCAGAGTTCTCACAGGGTTGACGTTCATCGCTTTCTTTTTTTAGCTTCTTTTTTATCTGAAGCATCAGAAACGTTTTCTGGAGGATTTTTTATCTCAGCGTTCCACCAGATTTCAAGTTGTTGTCGCCACAGAAACCAGATTTAAAATTGTTTCCCAGCAGACTTTGCTCCATTGTGAAAACTTTAAGTCCTCCTTGTGTTTCCAGGTCAACTCCAGGTGGTTGGTCCAGCTCAGCCAATCACGGCTGTTCTCGGTGATGACATCATCCTGCCGTGCTGCCTGGAGCCTGCTGCTGACGTTCAGGATAAAACAATACTTTGGTCCGACCCGGACCTCAAACTGGACCCGCTGAACCCTCAGAGAGGAGTGGAGTACGTACACCTGTACAGGAACAGGAAAGAGGTCCCTGACATGCAGATCACGTCGTATTTTGGCAGAACGACGCTGTTTGAGGACGAACTGAAGCGCGGGAACATCTCGCTGAAAATCACAAACGTGACGATGGAGGACCAGGGCAGGTACCGGTGCTTCATCCCCAAGCTGAAGAGCAGAGCGAACGCCGCCATAGTTCAGCTTGTTGTCGGTGAGTAGATCTGTTTAGACGCCACTTAAGGGTCAAGGATGAGGTTTTTTTTTGGGTATTTTAAATGTTTAAAAATGTTTTTCTTTTGTAGTTCCAAACGTTGTTGAAACCTCGACGAAACCACCGCTGGACCTCAGAAACCTCCAAACTCCAGACCCGCTGGACGACACTCGGCCTGACGGTGGGAGAACGCTCCAACTCTGATCATTTCCAGAATCATTCAGGGTTTGACGTGTTTACTGACCGTTGTTTCATTGTTTTCCTCATCAGGTGGTTTTCCCATCCTGGCTCTTGTCATCCCGCTTGTGATCATCTTACTGTTCATCGTTGTCGGCATCGTTGCATATTTCTTAAGGAGAAAAGTTAAAAAAAAGAATGTAAGGAAGAAAAACATCAACGCACGCCTTCCAGATGTTTCTGAGCAACGCCTGACTAATTAACAAACTTGTCCGTCCAGCTTTCAGACAAAGACGCCGCTCAGAAAGAACCGCTTGGACCTGAGGTGCCTTGCTCAGGAGCTGTTGGTGGAGACACTTTGTGTTTCCTTTGTCCACCTGAAGCTCCTGACCGTGGCTGCTGTGAGG